GCAGCGTGAGAGCAGAAAACCCTTTAGGATTCAGATGTGATTGAAAACCCAGGCAAACTAGCAGAGGACCTTGCAGAGTCCCAGGAGGAGCCAAGTTTCAAGGGAAAGTGCAGAATACCCACTCATCAGGGGAGAACACCCCCCTGCAGCAGGCTGAAGCATAACCTAAATACAAATGGGAAGGGAAACAAATCAACTTCGGAGTGAGAGAAATCACTAAGAAAAGGTGCGATGAAAGGACTAGCGATCCTCTGTCTGGAAACACCAGGTCTGTTTTACAACAGACTCTCCATAGGGTAATTCCCGCTTCTTGGCATTTCAGATGATAAGCTTCCAGCCCTGAGACCAGACACTCTCTGCCAGTGCTCTGAAATGATACTTTGGCAGCAAGGACCAAGTCTCCTTTGCGAACAAAACACACAAAATAATGTCACCTCCATGCTACAGATTTCCATCAAGTCAAACCCCATCATCTTTACCTCAGTGGGGTGGAGGAAAGGGAAGGGGAGGGGAGGGATCCGGTAACATCCTTCAACTGTGACCTGGTCATCAGAACATTTAAAAATCCTGCCAATCAGCACCACCCCCCATTTCTCCTACCCCAGCCCCCACCTCATGTTAAAAACACCCCAGTGTTCAGAAAAGCATCTCGGAATGCACACTAGTACATTTGCCAAATTCTGGGCCTGGTGATTTTTGTGCTTCCAGATTTGAGTCACCAAAGCTCATCGATTCTCTGTTCTTACTCCCTGGCAGACTCCCACAAGGGATATCCCATAGGGAACTAGACTTTTCCATATTGAACAAACAGGGTACATGAGTCCAGAAACAGCTATTCCCAATCCCTGCCAAGCGTATGGTCTCTGCAATGAAACATTTCAGCAATGCCTCCCCCCCTGGGAGAGGCTCTGGGTCTGCAGCCTCCAAGAGGCCTTGCTGCTGCCTTTAGCATGGCCAGATGTGCAACAGCATCTCTGGGTTTGCAAATTAAGCTCTATACCCATGATTCCCTCCAACCATCCCACCCAAGCACTAGAGAGTCACACAGATTTCAGAGAGTAAATTAAAGATCTGAACGGCAACGGGGGAAAAGGGTGTGTGTGTGTGTGTGTGTGTGTGTGTGTGTGTGTGTGTGTGTGTG